CAAAACTGAACCGAAAATGCAAGACTTGCTTTAATTGTTTTCTGTCAGTGTTTATATGTATTGATCTAGCACAGTGTAAATAACATGAGTTCCATTATAGTAAATAATACAGAAAGAAATTGAAGGAAAACAATTAAAGCAAGTCTAATTGCATTTTTGGTTCAGTTTTGAACGAGATTTTCCGAAGACAAGTTGACAAGTCTCTCTTTCTCGCTCCGCCTCTCCATGTTACGTCATGTAATGTACACTATAGTGGATCGATATGACAATGAAAGAGAGACTTGGAGCAAGCTAGTCTAGCAAACGGTCAGTGATGTTAGTAGTGACTCTTTGTGTTAAAACGTTAAGTCTGTTTTCATCCCGATTATTTTGTAATTGTGGAGTCTGAGCTACGGTCGCCCCTCCCTCCCTCGCGGAACAAGTCTGCAAAGCGGGACAAAAACTTTAGCTGAGAAAACTATTTGAACTATTAGCCAGGCTACATGTTGTCGTTTTTGCGTGAATCAAATCGAAACCTAATAGTTGATCCCCCTCCCGGGGCATACCCCCGGGAATTTGGATTTTGACGTTTTGGTTAGGTCAAATTCCCTACATATATTTGTAATTCCTGTTCAAATACACCACGTATTGGGAAAAATTGGAGTTCAAATACCCCACCCCATGTACGAATTGGAAGCTATGCAGCTTTCCTTCAAAAACTCTCTTCAATCGTTCAAAGCCATTTTCTTTCAGTCAACAAAGGACAAAGTCAATTCCTTTGCAGTTTGCACTTCAACACATCCATTGATGCCATTTTGAATTCAGCACATGTGCAGCCTTGTGCCCAGGTGCTTTGATGGCTTTAAAAGAAAAATTCAAATTCCCGACCCCCATAACAAATTCCCCACCTTCCACTAGAAAAAAGGGTCCCGCCTTCTTAAAATACTAAACAAGCAAATTCCCCAGGTATGCCCGGGGGGGGGGATATCAAGGTTTCGATTTGATTCACGCATTTATACAGTTACACTATTAAATGACGTCACCATATTATTAAAAAATAAAATTGTTCATTTGTCTTTTTGCATTGACATAGTGACTCATGCTTGGTGTGGAGATATACTAACTAAATATCAGCCGTCGAAAAGTTACAACATGCGGTACAATTTTCCACCTGTCCTTTTTAATTTAATATAAAATGAACAAGTACAGAACAACAAAGTTCTAAAAACGTACTGTATGTACGCTATACAAAACGAAAGTAAAGCTTGCTACTAACCTACATGTAGTCTTTCCTACTCCACCTTTCCCACCAACAAATATCCACTTCAAACTAGTCTGTTCGATAAGATTATTGATGGATGGTTCGAGCGGTTCCAAATCATCAACATCTGGAGCGGCCGCCATATTGGTTTTCAATCATTTCATTTCAGTCACTTATGAAGGTCAGTGAGCTCTATATAAGGTCAGTGGGATTCTAGATCCAGGCTGTGGCGCGGTAAAATCCAATATGGCGGCAGAAATGAACCAGAAAAAGTAGAGAAATATTGAAAATGTGTGGAATATTTTGTACCATTTGCACTTCGACGGATGAGGCGCAGTGTAGAAGGAAGGTAGGAATATTATCTTATTTCCCTGCTGGTAAAAATGTTCAAAAGGGCATTTATTTTCAGTTATTACATATTTATAAAGATATTTTTGGATCCAGTCCGGAGTGCGAGTGCCAGACTGTATTCAGACTATGTAATAGTACATTAAACTCGAAAGCTGTGAAACTCGTTTGTATTATAGCTCGTTACCACAGGATTCGTCGTGAGATAATGGCACGTTTCCTTATTGGGTGCTTCAATTATGTAAAACCTGTGATTTTATAGATTCCAATCCTCACCAAAGGGGCCACGTCCATATTCATGTTGCCACGCATAACGTTGACTCGACGTTATCACCAGTACCCAACCATGACCACCTCAGATAACGTTGATCGTTACCCTGTCGTATTTTGACTGCTAAAAGAGCCCAAAATCAAAATGGGATTATAAAATATGAGAAGTTTTATAGGATATGTTTTATTATTATTTTCATACTGAACTATTCATCTCGCAGAAAAATGCTGCGATTCGCGAACACAAATTGACGGGTATTTGACACGAAAAAATGTCGCTTCAATACTTCGACCTTTGTTTTGAGCTCTATTAGTTGAAAATAATATAATACTGGCAAAAGTTGCACAGCAAACATTAAATATTTAAACTTCGGTCTGTTCGGATGTAAATAGTCAAATTGCCACGAGAGAACGTCGAGGAGTTGACGTAAAAACCCAGCCACCCATAATGTCGATTCGACGTTATGCGTGGCAACATGGATTTTGAGGACAGGGTCATTTTTGTTGGTGAATAGTGCAAGGATGATCTATTTGGCATATCTTCGGTGTGGAGTTTACATGCTTTTAGTAATTTTATTCATTAGAAATAGTTTTAATTATAATAAATAATACAGTTAGTATCTCTTCACATGCATGAGGTTGAACAAAACTTCAGTTGTGGCTTTCTTTATCTTGCTTGCTTGTAACCAGAATGAAGTGGAAAGCTATTTAATTTCTATTCGAATAGTGCAAGGAATATGAGTATATATTTATATGCTAAATGGGGGCAGTTGAAAGTTTGCCCGAATTTGTATGGAGGATTGTAATGAAATATCCTGAATTTAATAGGGGGGCACAGTTTCTCCCCCCCCCCCCTTGCCTTGTATGCCTAGTGACTATAGCACTCTGAAATTCATCTTTGTATTTCCAGCTTTTTTTATTAATCTATGCCTACAATGTAATGTATATTGTTCAATTTGAAACATCGCCATTCCTTTGAAAATTTGAACTTTTGAAAATTAATGTGAAAAAAATGGTTGTCTTTCAAAATTAGTCTTAAACATTGATCATCTGATGCAAGCTATGATGGCTAACTTTCTTTTTGAGGCTTAAACTCAGGAAATTTCCTTTGCAACAGTGCTAGGCATATAATAAACACTTTCAATTTATTTTATTCATTAAGCTTAAATGTCCAATCTTGTACGGGTTTCCAAAGAAGTTTAAGCTTTTTGAACGACAACCTTTCTCTTCGTTTTCTGTTGGAGATATTCTTTTACATGCTAGACGTTTTTCTAGGATATCACAGAAAATATCAAGCCATTTTTGCTACGACGTGGTCCAGATGATTTTGGTGAGAAACAAATCAACTGTTCACTGTCAAATAATGAAGAGAAAACATTCGGAGAGGGTCGTCACACTAGCAGTAGTAATGACAGTAATTTCATCCATTTGGCAGCCGTTGTTCTTCACCTTCGTGGTGATTGTATAGCCCAGCAGCCTGTGGAAGACAGCTTTGGTAACATTTTGGTATGGAATGGAGAGATTTTTGATGGCATTGAAGTAAGATAATTGTTTTTCAATATTTAATTACATTTGGGCAGTCAGTTTCGCACCAAAATCCAAAAATGTTTGTTCAATTTATTAAAAATAGAATTAAAGGCCTCGCCTTTTAAAATCACGATGAATAAGAGAAAATCCTGTAAATGTGTCTAACTTCAAAAGTGTCATGCGTGAGACAAAGTACAGTACCTATTATTTATTAATAAGTGTGGTATATTAACAGAAAATCAGTCTCCACTTCGTCGTTAGTAATTCCCGTAAGGAAAATATTCTAATTTTTTTTGTAGGCATCTCACTTGATACAACTTCGAACGAGAATGATAATATATAATTAGCCATCATTAAATAATTATTGTATGGCAAGCATCACTTCCAGTGAAATGGCAGACTGTGATTGGCTGTGAAGCACTTTCAGCGGTCCATTATAATTTTGTTATTACGTAAAAACAAACGCATGCATTTTAAAACAAAACAGCAAAGCTAATTGAAAATATGAAAATTATAATTTAATTTGTTATTAATAAGACATCTGCGATTGCTTTTTAGTGGAAAAGAATTAGGAAATACATTGTTATTTGGTATTTTTTGTTTTCTTTGACCAAATGTGTACCACGCTACTAATATGCATTTCAAATCTTCCATTTCTTGTTTGTTTCAAGTATAAATGCCATATAATAAACTTTTTATTAACCGCGCTTGCTCGGTTATGTACGGAGAAATATCGAACCTCGGTCTTTTTGTACAAACCTTGCTCTGCAGGCTCGGTCTGTTACAGACCTCGCGTTCGGTTGATAAGAAGTTATTAATTTGTGAAATAGGTATGGTGCTTAAACTAAATGTGATTGGCGAATTTGTAGTCACGTGAATTTATATTAATTACAATGTATCCCTCCGGGAACCGAATGAAAAAAAACATTGCGAAAAGAATACATGCATGCAGCAGGCAACAGGAAATGCTGCCGGAACATTTTCAATCAATCAAGGCCTGCGAGAGCCAACCACGGGCCCCGGGCTTTTAATTCAGGAACACGCCCCGTCCTTCTTGACACTCACGCTGATGAAGGGAATCGCCAGCGAATTACTTGCAAGAAGTCGACGGAGAATTTCAGTGCATGCATGTTATCGTACCAACAGATAGACGTAATAAATTTGTTCAACACAGCTAAATACCTCATTTCATAACTGATAACGAGTTAAAGACGCGATCTAAACGATGTTTAGCTACAGTAACTGTTTTTGCAGAAAAAAAAACTATCGAAAAATCGTTTATTTCACATTGGTACGTTTTACGATCGATCACGACGATCAGCGGATAGTGTGGAAGCAAGCGTATTTCATTTAGGACAAAAATAAAACGAGCGATGATAAACGATACGAACATTTCACCAAGATCCCTCCTTTGCCCTCTGGCCTCCTGCCCCCCCCCCCCTCGCCGGCCTTGCAATGAATCAATAAATCATTTCCATTAAAGAGTTTCAGTTCCCACGGGAAATTGGTTCGTTTGTTTTCCCTCGAATCTCAATGTCAACATTAAAACTCTCTGGTAAGCAAAACTATTTCCTTCGGGAGCATTCAGACATTGAGTGTATAATGTTATTTCCACACAATTACTTTCTGTAATTTTTAAACCCTTACCTCAACCACGACAATATTTAAACGCTTTAATACCAGCTTCAAATGAAAATAGGACACTTGAGAGTGTCTTGCAATTACAATGTGCATAATAAATATATTTGTTTAAATTAAATGTAAACAATGTAAAGTTAAGGTTACACGAGGCAGATTTTTCTGGAACTTTGCGACGCAAAGTCGGCACGGAGCCATGTTTTGTAAAACCCTGATAAAACGTATGCACAGTAAAATTGAGAACTTGTCATGCATTTTACTCCGCTAGTCAAAGAAAAAGTATTCACATGCACAGGTTGCGGTGAATTTTCCGTTTTTATCGATTTTTTTTGCGAAAGAAACTCTGAAACGGAAACTGACTTTCAGATTAAAGAGTAATTATAGTATGTAATCGTGTGTATAATCGTGAGAATTTGATAACTTTTCTGTCTTCCTGTTTACCTAACTCCTCTAACAGGGAATAACAAAAAAATAAAGATCTTGACTTGTCAAGAATTGAGACTATACATTATTCATAGTATATTTTGTCTTTGTTAAAACAAATACAAAATATACCATGTATAGTCTCAATTCTTGGCAAGTCAAGATCTTTGTATAGATATACCTGGAGTATCATGTAGAGAATCGTCCGCTAAAGTTGCGACAGCGTCTTTATTTCCAGAAATATTTTCATCTTCCATTTTAACTTCAGTTCTGCCCATCTTTCATTGTAAATTCAGTACTGTCCCGGATCCCTCGACGTCACGTGAAATACTGGCTTATTTCATTTGACGTTGAGGAACCCGGAATGTTTCCCTCCTAAACGGTACCAAGATTCCTCCTATAAACGTCAAGAAAGATAATGAAAATCACTAAAATATTGAAAAAAACTATTTAGTGTTGTTTCGTTTTACACTGGAAAGCATTTTATTCCTTGTATTCGAAAGGAATTTATGAGAAATCATAATCGCATTTGCACAAATGAAAACCGGTTCCTTGTGCACACTGAAAGTTTGCGCGGGAATGAAATCACAGTGTAGTTAATGAGATGGTTGCATAGCAACGTAAAAACTAATTTATCTTGCGCATTAAATGCGAATCAGAAACGAGAAGATTTTTAACGTTATCTGTAATGACATAGTTCCAGGTTTTAGTGTAATAATTCTTACCATCTAAAATTCTTCACTGTCTAAAAAGGTTTTACTGTAAGCTCTGCATCACGAGCTTTAGTTTCGTTGAAGTTTTGCTTGGCTGCCTCAATTATACCATCGAGACTCGTTTGCCCTCTCTGCATAAATATTGAATTTTAATATTTCCTGTACCAGTTCTTTTTCAGTCTCTTCACATTGGAAATTGGTATGCTCCTTTTCGACCATATATTTATCTAATCACCCAAAATGTTTGGAAAATTTCCGCGAGAAATACGAAATGTGCGCAGTCTCCATCAATCAATTATGACAAACTACATTATGACATCACAGCGCTTTTATACCTTGAACCAGAGCAAGGGATTGTGGGATAGTAATTAGTACGCTGTTTGTGACATCATTTATTGAAAGAAGAATAAAAGAACTTGCGTAAAACCGGTTTTGCACCTGGCAACTTTTAGTTTGCGTGCTAAGTGTCTCAACAAAGGGTCGTTCACGTGAAACAAAATAAAACGAAATGGATAATAAATAATAATGAACAATAAAACCCAGTTCGTTTTGGGCATGTTTGAAGGTAAAGAACAAGTTTCTAAATATAATTTTTAGGAACGATTGAATACAGTAATCTGGTGTAGCATTGAACAGTTAATTCTGAAAGCTGTATCCGTTCTTGCCTTAAAGTTAAATATAAAGTTGGTCATCAGATCAATAATATCAATACTCAGCAAAACAGTAGCCTTTATACAACCGATCCGTGAACTTTATTGGCATGGAACTTTATTAAACTTATATATATCTAACATGCTGTCGCAAGGCAGCACTAATTAGCAACTGACATGAGCTTCTGAAGGAAGACCGTGGGGGTAACTCCCGCAGGAAATTTTGATATGTGATGCCTCTTAGCTGGGTAGAAAAGGGTTCTCACAAATTTCTTAGAAAAACGTTTGTTTTGAACTTTTTGTACAGATGTCAGAACTTAATTATGCTTAAAATCATTCATGTATAAAATCGGTCATGCGTGTGATTATGCATGAAAGACCACCATTGACGTCAAAAAAGTCCAAGTTTTAGAGGTCTCGCGTAACATCGCTGTGTCCTAAAATTGCGTAAAGAAAATTGCCTCGTGCAACATTGCCTTTATGGTTGGCATACGTTTTACAGCTGTCATACTTATGACGCATTCATCTCGTATTAAAAACTTTGTTTTGCGACAGGTTCCAGCGTATGAAAGTGATACCACAGCGCTCCTTAGGAATTTACATGCATCCTCGGATAAAGACGGTGTTGAACACGTTCTCAAGACTATGGGTCATATACATGGACCATGGGCATTTGTGTACTACCAGGTAAGACTACACCAATCCTGTTCGCAAAGTACAATAATGACCCTTTAAGACCCTTTTACGCAACGCTCAAATTTTCCACTGCACAGATAAAAATAACCCGTACCAAATTTGTCTGTTCTATAAGACTGGAATTTCTATTCACGAGGTCCTTACACTGGCAAATTATGTACGGGTACGATTTTTCTGCTGGTCGGCCACTCAAATCTTTCCTGCTCACCACATTCTCTTGCATCTTCTCGTCACTGCCGTCATGCAGGGTCTTAGCTAGTATTTTAAATTTTGTGAGTGTTTCTAATTTTCCAGTGTGTATACGTGCCAATCACCCAGAATGGCCAAATGCACGTCCAACTTACATTATAATGAGTCCTTTTAGGAACTCTCATTATTTACATTACATTATAATGAGTTCTTGTAGGAATTCCCACTACCTATATATCCATCTGAACATAAGAATATCACGGGTCAACTTATTGGCACTACCCTCAGTATATATACATGAACTTGTGGTTAGAGCTCGACTACTGGACTCTATAACTCAGTTGGTTAGAGCACTGCACCGGAATCACAGGGCTGCAGGTTCGATTCCTGCCAGGGACCTGTAGTTGCATTTTTCGCAACTGTTCCTGTTTAGGTCTAATAAATGTATATTTTATTTATTATAATTTCCATCTACAATTAAGACCCTTCAATTATTATTCAATCGAGTGATCTATGCCAACAGGAATGTCGATAATTTTCACAAACTAGATTTTACAAGCTTTCTCACGACATAAATAGGAGCAAATTCTGTTTGTTGAAAGTACAGCAACACTCTTATTTTATGAATTTACACGGCTTTATATAAATAATGAAGTCACGTTCGCTTTATTTTCCCGTGCGTGCTTTTCCATTTCTGAAAGCGGTAACACGGCCAACACGGCCTTCTACAGTAAGACCCTGAATGTTTTCCTTTAATTTTATCCTTATTCATTATTTTCTGCATTGTGTATCACCATATCTGCCCTTTGCAAGTCTCCAGTGTAAAATACGTGCAGTGCAAAATATTGAGTGCCTTATATAAACGGGCTGTTATAGGTACACGTTCAGTACTGCTTAAAGAAATAACCAGAGAAACCGTAACCAGAATACGCTGTATGTTCCGAAACGCGTTCCAGTTAGGCGGAGATGTGAGTTGGGCGCGATTTCAAGCGCGTTGGCAACGAAGAGGAATGCACGGGGAACGCATGCACTCACGTGTCCCTAGCTGGTACGTTTTTGTTAGGCTTTTTTTGAGTGCTGATAATATAGCTACAAAAGTGGATATTGTTTCTTCATTCTGGTAACCATCGGGCAAACCTGTTCAGTGTTTTTATTAGACTTGTTCTACAGTGCACATAACTCACTGCCTTAATCTTAATGTGCTGAAATAACCTGTGCAAAGCGGAGTTACGTTAGGCGTGCTTTACGTAGACATGCTGTATATCGAACACATGTAGAGTTATACGTCAATCATATGTAACCTTACATGTTTGATAACACAAACGTCGGATTTGATGATTCTTCATAACATGCTCAACCTCATTCACTCACACATTTTATTGTTAAATATTGCTCATGACGTGTTTTCCTTGTCGAACATGGTTGTAGGCTAATCGACATACTCTTTGGTTCGGTCGAGATTATTTTGGACGTCGCAGTTTACTCTGGCACCTTCCGTCATCGCCCTCTGACTTGTTTGCATTATCATCAGTTGGAACAAGAGTGGCAGAGGACTCAGGAGAACAGGTGATATCCGTTATTCTACGTAATGGAAAAACCTTTGTGAGGGAAGTGTGATCTCTAATTTTTATCTTATCTTGTTTTTTAATTTTTTTAAAATTGTATGAACTATTATGAAATTGATTTACTAACAGTAAATTCTAAATTAAGTTTGTTAACCCTGGATATCTCTATATATCATTGAGCTGTTCTACTTAGACGTACAATAATCACTATGGAAGCTAGGCATGGTAAACTGTATATTGAAGGCTCGAAGTTCGATTGCAGAGATTAAAGTAACATAATTATGCACCAATCTCCGAGGCTTGAGCCGCCAACACCCCACGTCTGTGGAGTGGATCGCGGATAATGCACCTGCATAAGACTGGAAGCTGCTGGTTTCAGCCTAAAAAATTGGAAGATATCTTGACAGTTTGCATTTCAATCCTTGCGATTACAGTTCTTTAGTTCAATGTACGCCCTCCTTCAGAAGATTATTAATGCCACAATATCTGTTATCTACAAAATGAATAAACAATATGACGGGTTTCTTGACAGCATTGTCTCACCGTATAAATTTCTGGAACACGTTTTTTAGTTTTGGAAGGAAGTACCAGCAGTTGGGATTTATTCAGTAGATATAAGGAAAGTTGACACATATTTTTCCAATGGAGGTACAAGTATGGTTTATTTAGTCAGGATTTATCTCCCGATGGTTTTATTGATTTTTCCTTTAGTACAAATATAATACCTGAAACCTAAGCTGATACGATGATATCATTACATAGTTCAAATAACTGAACAACACATCTCCTTATATGTGCATGTTATTCATACATTCATGTAGATGGAAATACTATAGACTTCCAAGCTGTTCTTCGAAAATATCCATGGCAAAAGTTTTCTTCTTCCGAATATCCAGTATGTCCCGTACGTAACCAGTTCAATAGAGATACTTTAGACTATATTGGTAGTTCAACTCCACCAGGAAACTGTTCAAAAATACCATGTCATTCCTCGCATCAAAGTGAAACTGCGGTATCAAAAGAGGATATTGTAAATGGTAAACAGAACAGAACTCCCGATAATTCTGCTGTTTCTTCGAGAAATAATTCTTATTCACTTCCTAAAGATACAGCTTCTAATTCCCAGGTGGAAGTTCCAACTAGTGCCGTGAATGACGATGTTATATCCGAAGTTGTGGGCAACACTTGTGGAAGGCAAACCGCAGCAAAATGCCACGTTAACGCTATCAAGTATGAAGATAATCAAGTAGACGGTCATTCTGATCACACCAAGGAACAACAAGATATTCGTTCTTGTTCTACTAAAGAGCATGAACTAAGTTCCACAACATTTCCGGAAAACCTTAGTGGTACAAGCCACTCATCTAAGCTGTCCCCAAATAACGACGATGCAGGGAATATATCTACGCAATCCAGTCTATTTAACCGTGATGATAAAACGAACCTATGCTTAGATAAACATGTAATACAGGACCATATTAGCCCAGATGTGGTTGAACAATTTGCGAACATTCTTATGGAAGCTGTTAGAAGGCGTGTTCTTAATCTGCCAAGAAAAGCGAAGTCAAAATCCTGCATTGCCACAGTCCATGGAAATGATAGTGCAAATGAAAGGGATACAAGACTTTGTGTTGGGAATGAATCGAGAAGTAATGTTGGGATTCTGTTTTCTGGAGGATTAGATTCGATTGTACTAGCGGCTCTTGCAGACAGGTAAATTATAAATTAACTATTACTGCGAGGCTGGAGCTGATATGCCGTGTGGGTGCATGGGGAGTGGGGGCGGAGTGCGTACCCCACCTAGTGGTGTGTAGCACCCACCTGGAGAAGTCCAGCACCACCATAAATGTGGTCTGCTTGACCACATATTTTTTGCTTTTCGAATAGCGATCAGCGGAGCTTCTACTGTTAGCGTGTGTCGATTTATTTATTTATTTATTTAACTTTGCCAAAAACACGTAATAGAACAATAAGTAAACAATAAACTCGTATGACAGGGATGGCAGGGACACCACAACAGTGTAAACCAATTACTGTGGGCCCTTAAAACAGCACAACCTCATACCCAGGGCTGGCCGCGAGTTGAAGGCTGTCGCTGCCTTCAACTCGCGGCTAGCCCTGGGTACGAGGTTGAAAACAGCATTCTTGAAACGATTTAATTTCGGATATAATGTAGAAAATTTATTGTACTGTGTTTTACGTGCTACAGCAACCGCCCAGTTAGCCATACATGATAAAAAGTTGATAATTTTATAAACTTTATGAACCAAAGATAATGTAAAACGTAACAGAACGGCGAACACGCAGATTCGGCCATCTCAAATAATTGTAATGCTGGGATAGTAGCGTTGTAGACTGCAGAAGTGGGCAGTAAAGCTCCCTCGTGACCACCCCGAAGGAAAACCTGCACCCTTCCTTGCAGATGAGACTAGATTTGCTGCTGCTGCGAGGACTTCAAATCCCGTCCAGTCCCCATTTTCGGATTTGAAACGGCATCTCATATCGTTCCATAAATTGTGGTCAATTTTTCCTCTAGCCCTATAGGGCCGAGTTAATTTTGATTCAGTCCTATATTTTACGTATATTCCAGTATGATCATGGTAATTTCGCTATGAATTATTAATGATTTGAGATAAGAGAATAAAACACTCTGTGACTCGTTGGTAAACATTTTTGATAAGATTATAAATGAAAGACAGACTTAAACCATTGTCTTTTCGCATAGGTCTACGAAAGATGATGATGATAAAATTAATATATTCCTGTCTAGTACTTCAGAAGAATAACGAAACAGAATAATTTTTTTGCAAATATATTTCTTGCACGGTATTTGCTTAAATAGGCGTACGACACAGGAGGGCACCCCCAAGAATTTAGAAAACCGTGGAAATTCGGGCAAATGCTCGGATAAATCAAGAGGGTTTGGGCAAACGTATCACAAAATATGTTAAATTCAGATAATTTCATTACAATCTTCAATAAAAATTCGGCCAAACTTTCAGGTGCCCCCTCTGCGGAAAGTATCAGCCGTTCGTGTTTGCTACCCGTGTTTGCTTGCGCAATAAGCTGCTGAGTTAAAAATTCGAGTAATGGAAAAAGATGTGTTACAATTATCGCTGTATACATACCTGACACTAGACTTGGTCCAAGTCTGTTTCAGGACAAAAGACGGACTTGGAACATTTGCAGCATGTCCAATGTTACTTGCAAAATTGCCACAAAAATTTGTTGTTGTCAACTCGTTAGCCACGCCACCGTAGGAAAAATCTGACGGCGCGCTTGCAAATGTCCCAAGTTCGTCTCTCCCTAGATTTCTCTCATATTTTCGTGCTTTTTTTCACCGCTTACGCATGTCGCTACTTTCAACCTCTCGACTCCGACCAACCAGAGAACCGGACGCGTCAGTGTTAGGTTTTTTCAGGGTTTAACTTGTCTGTTTTTCTCTTGGCCTTTCTCCATTTGTTTTAGCAATGCGCATGCGTGTTGTTGTTTCGCTCGAGAACCAACTCTCCGTTGTTATCCCTGCTGCCCATTTCACTGTCTCGGATGGGAGTGGTTCCAGCAGATGCTAATAATAAACTTACTTACAGTATTATGTCTATCATATTGGCAGATGTGTTCCACTAGCGGAAACTATTGATCTAATCAACGTCGCATTTGAACAAAAGAGTGCAAGCAAGCATACCAAACAAGGACGGAAGCACAAACAGCGTAAAAACCCAAACGATGGTGAAGCATGTGTTACTAACTTTGAAGTACCAGATCGAATCACCGGGCGTAATGGTGTCGCAGAACTCAAACAAATTAATCCAGAAAGAACTTGGAATTTTGTTGAGGTATACTTCTCATAGATTGATTCATATTAGCAAAGTTTGAAATGTATTTCCTTTTTTTTCCGGAAAATTGCGCGTAGAACAACAGTATCAATATTATTCTCTCTCGCCTGCGGAAGCTTCGAATTTCAGCGGTTATAACTTCACACTGCGTACCTTTTAGCGCAATGGCGCGAGTAATGGATGATTGCAGCTATCGATTATTTTTTTATCTAACCAAGAAAAACGAAATTTATCATTATAGCTCAAAAGAGCATCCTAAAATTAGTAAAATTGCAACGTTTGTGTGCGAAATGTTGTAAAATACGAAAAATATAACCCTGTGAAATTAGCAAATTTTGAGTACTTTAGTATTACGCGCGGAAAAATGCACCACTTTCGGCTCAAAAGTGGTGCATTTTTCCGCCCGTAATAACAAAATACTCTAAATTTGCTAATTCCACAAGGCTATATTTTCCGTATTTTACAACATTTCGCAACCAAATTTGGCAATTTTACTAAATTAAGGATGTTCTTTTAGTTCTTTTAATTTGTATCATATTCCTTTTTGTAGAACAAAAATTAGACAATTTTCAGTTACTTATCAGGCTCCAAAATTTTTTAATTCTCTTAGTCAGAATATCCGTGATGCATCATCTGTTTATTGTTTTCAATCTAAATTGAAGAATTATCTGTTTTCTCTTTAATTGAACAGTTTTTCAGTTAATACTTATATTAATAATCTGTTTAAGTTTTGTAATTCTTATTGAGTATTTTATTGATAGCTATCAATCTATCTATCTATCTTTTTTTTATTCTTAATTTGACAATTTCCAATAACTCCTCCATTTGTTAGATTTTGTAACAACTAAATGAATATTGTAATTAATTGTTAATAATGTTTATACTAAGCTGCCTTCAGATCTATCAAACTCATGAATAAGGAGCCCAAATCATATAAGACTATGTGCACACGGTAACGTTTTCGAGCGTTTTCAGCTGTAACGTTTTCAAAAAGTGTCGTTTTCAAGCCGTGTCCACACGAAAACGGATGAAAACGTCATCTTATGACGAAAACGTTCTCAATGCTAAAAACGTTTTCGGACAAGCGTTTTCACGTTGAAACGCTAAAAATCCAAGATGGCGGCTTAAAATCAAAATGTTATATTTTTGTTTCCTGGAAGCTTAAGATCTTTCATTGGATCATTAATTCTTAAGTTAAAAACTTTAGCAACAAATAAAACAAAATATATAGCCTTTCAAATGTATAATGATTTATGAACGATTTAAAATGCGGTTTGCTTTCGAAGAAGCGACAGACTTCGTATCGGTGATGCTAAACAGTACATATAAAACTGTTTACTTTATGATAATGAGCAGAGGACATTTTAAGAAACTCGTTGACAAGTAATGACTTTATCTGGTGGAAAATGAATGGCAATAACAAGCCGCTAGAGATGGAATTTTTATCGAGACAAACATTTGCATCTCGTGAAAACGTTTCCGTGTGGACAGAGCGACAAACTGACAAAATTGGAAACGACGTTTTAGAAACGCTCGGAAACGTTACCGTGTGCACATAGTCTAAGCCTTCTGGTTTCTCTTTGGGCTACCTTGCCACTATTTATCTACTTTAATGTTTTTGTTTGTTTTTTTCGATTGTAAAGTTTCTAAATTGTGATAAGTTCTTTGAATGTTTGCATGGCGATAAAATATAATTGTTTTTGTTTGTGGAAACACCACGTAAATTTATTACTGCAAAGCTTTCGATCCGTAAGCCCGGATCTTCATCAGTGCTAATAATATGTGACTTGTTTAATTCACACGCTCCTTTTATATACAAGAGTGTCGTGATCTGTTGGCTCGCGTCATTTGAAATTTAATTAAACGGCACATCAACCACGTCATTTCAAACGTAATGAAGTGATTCCAATTAACGCGCGCGCATCCAAGACAAGAGAAATTAATTTTGCACATTAAAGAGAGCACGCCACGTACTATCTAGTGGCTTTCCCTCCTGATCTATAGTATTGTGCTTCTCGATTTCAATTGACTCTCTAAATTGTGGTAAATAAAATGACTTGACTTGACGGATCAAAATTTAGTCTATAGCTGGAATCATGCATTCCCTTCGAAGAGCATTCTATTAAATTCATTGCATTAAGAATATACTGATCATTTTATTCGCAGTGAATATAATTATTATCTCAGCAAAAATTATTTCACTCTCTCTCCAGGTGATCTCGTGTTCGTATTTTAGCCAATCAGCGCTCAGAAAGGGTTGTCCGAATAGAAATCCATTTTGATGTATTCAGTCAATTATATCTTTCGTTATTCTTTATGAAACTAGTTGAAATTTTGTAATTATGTTTGCTTATGAGAACCATAGCTCTGACAAAAATATGGAATCGAAATAAAGTATATTACAGGAGATATTCAGTTGTTTTAATCATAAAATGGATTTCTATTTGACAACTAGTGCCAGTACTTTTCCGCGTATCAAGATCACCTGGCTGTAATGTGGTTAAGCCGCCGGGCAAGTGCGCTGCGTGCCCCTATTTGACGCAAACTAAATTATCTGAAAAATAATATCAGTTTTTTCGACAGAATTTGAATTTCGTTGGATCTTCATGTTTTGACTTTTCTCCGGTTTCTGAGTTCCCCCACTATTTTCTCTTGTAAATAACTTTTGTAATCAAAATAAAGAATGTAAATAAACCGCCGACTACTGTAGTTATAGGAATCTGTGAGTCCTTCAACTGTTTGATGTATTTTTTCTTAACTAGGTAAATGTAACTTTGGAGGAATTACAGAAAGAAAGGTGAGGTAAAGAAAGGAAGTTGTTGACATAAAAGTTGTTGAAAAGCAAGACATAAAATTCAAAGTGATATATTCTATACTCTATTTCCAAATCATTGTCAGACCTAAATCAAGCATGCTCAGATTAGTAATTTAATCTTTCTGTTTGTATAACCGGAACGATCTGAGCACGATTCGTGTAAATATAGTTATAGGTTTGACAATGCTTTGGAAGTATAGAGTCGAAATATCACCTTTGAATTATATTACTACATTATTCAGATGTATTATTATATGATGGCGGACTGTGATTGGCTGAGAAGCACTTTCAGCGGTCCATTATTTTCCCATAATGGACCGGCGGTCCATTACGTAAAAACAAACGCATGTATTTTAAAACAAAACAGCAAAACAAATTGAAAATTTGAAAATTATAATTTAATTTGTTATTAATAAGATATCTGCGAATGGTTTTTAGTGGAAAAAAAAAAGACTACATTGGTATTTTTTGTTTTCTTCGACCAAATGTATACCACGCTACTAATATGCATTACAAATCATGCATTTCTTGTTTGTTTCGAGTATAAATACCTATAAATGCCACATAATAAACTTTTTATTAACCTCGCTTGCTCGGTATGTACAGAGAAATATCGGACCTCGGACTTTTTGTACAAACCTCGCACTACGGGCTCGCTCTGTACAAAAAAACCTCGGTCCGATATTTCTCTGTACAGACCTCGCGTTCGGTTAATAAGAAGTTATTATCATGCTAGTCTTTTTCTTATATAACACCCTAAAGATTCAAATTTTTATAGCTGAGAAATTTACAGTATCGTATGTTGTATTCAAATTACACGCAGCTGCAATATGCTTACTGACTCCTTGGCGTTTAGTTTATTATCAAATAACTACAAATAATTAATTATGAAAATAGAGGGAACTCAAAGACTGCATACCTCAGCCAGGGAATTAAATTATGTATCATGCATAAATTATATAATGGGATAATTACGCATTGAAGTTACTCTGCCTGGCAAAGCAGGACAAACGTTTGCTAATTTCTCGTCCATTTTTCATCGAAATTAAACCAAAGTTTAATCAATTTAGTCTTGAAAAAATGTTCATTAGTCTCTTTGAGTTATGTAGTGCTGACAGACACACATACAAACGCGGATGAAAACATATCCACCTGGCAGAGGTAATAAATAATTATCAATTATTTTTAATTCCTTTGCTTTTTTAATTTAGGTCGAATTATATTTCACATTTGGTGTCTCCTCAAAGTACAGTTCTTGATGATAGCATTGGTTCTGCATTGTGGTTTGCAGCAAGAGGACGAGGAAATTTAACTTGCAAGCAATGTATCGAAAATATAAAAGAGCATCCAATTTCGTGTAACAATCATCCATCATATACTTGTCCTGCAAAGGTTTGCGTTTTTTATCTTCCTAGGTTTAGCGAGAGTCTTTTGCTTTCCAAACCCTATTATATAGCTTAGTCGTTAGCGACCTTTAGCAATATGGGAACGTGACGACAACTGCAATTGAACAGGGCCGCCGACAGATTGCGCGGGGCCCGGGGCAAAACTTTGCCAGGGACGTCATAATTGTAAGAGAGGAGAAGCGGTGTTTTACAATATGTTGCACTTTATATGCAATGACGCTGATAGGATTTATATTCTCGATTAAGCAATCTTATATCAGGCTTTGTCGCCAGAGGCGACCGTAGAAAGTCTTCGACTCGATCAAGTTGAGCTGCTTTCCAAACCCTATTATATAGCTTAGTCGTTAGCGACCTTTAGCAATATGGGAACGTGACGACAACGGCAATTGAACAGGGCCGCCGACAGATTGCGCGGGGCCCGGGGCAAAACTTTGCCAGGGACGTCATAATTGTAAGAGAGGAGAAGCGGTGTTTTACAATATGTTGCACTTTATATGCAATGACGCTGATAGGATTTATATTCTCGATTAAGCAATCTTATATCAGGCTTTGTCGCCAGAGGCGACCGTAGAAAGTCTTCGACTCGATCAAGTTGAGCTGCTTTCCAAACCCTATTATATAGCTTAGTCGTTAGCGACCTTTAGCAATATGGGAACGTGACGACAACGGCAATTGAACAGGGCCGCCGACAGATTGCGCGGGGCCCGGGGCAAAACTTTGCCAGGGACGTCATAATTGTAAGAGAGGAGAAGCGGTGTTTTACAATATGTTGCACTTTATATGCAATGACGCTGATAGGATTTATATTCTCGATTAAGCAATCTTATATCAGGCTTTGTCGCCAGAGGCGACCGTAGAAAGTCTTCGACTCGATCAAGTTGAGCTGCTTTCCAAACCCTATTATATAGCTTAGTCGTTAGCGACCTTTAGCAATATGGGAACGTGACGACAACGGCAATTGAACAGGGCCGCCGACAGATTGCGCGGGGCCCGGGGCAAAACTTTGCCAGGGACGTCATAATTGTAAGAGAGGAGAAGCGGTGTTTTACAATATGTTGCACTTTATATGCAATGACGCTGATAGGATTTATATTCTCGATTAAGCAATCTTATATCAGGCTTTGTCGCCAGAGGCGACCGTAGAAAGTCTTCGACTCGATCAAGTTGAGCTGCATCCTTCGCAATTCAGCTTATAGCTCTCAGCGTTAAGTAAGGGGATTAGCCCCCCCCCCCCCGATACACCCACTTACTATATCATGACAAGTTTATTTTGCAATAATTTATTTGAGTGAGTTTGTTTTGGCTGTAGTCGTCGAGATCGACAGTCACGTTGCTGTCCTGCTCGCTAGAGGTCAATTGACGGTAATAATTTCTAGAATATGCAAAATAGTTACTACCGTCAACCCACTATGGTTAAGCTACTGTAATAATGCAGTAATAAAATTTACGTGGTGTTTCCACAAAAAAAACCTATTATACTGTAATATTGTTGAATACTGTTTATGGATAATGTTTATGGATTAACGGTGTGTATGCTGGGATACTCGCCATCCAGATATTGTATCTTTTTTGGTCAAAAAAACGTTTGTGAATGGCCAAACGTTTTTCTGCCTACATTGCGACCTCGACATATTTTGCGTGTTAAGGTTTAAAAGAAACCTTTGTTTTTTTAGGTATTACTTGTAGGAATGGGAGCGGATGAGCAACTTGGTGGCTATGCACGTCATCGTTCTCGCTTTAAGTATGCAAATAATAATATCTCCCTATTTTCTCTTAAATTGTACCATGAGGAGCATTCTGCTATCCCCAGTCTAGGTTCGTAGTCTCCAGGATCAGAAAATTCAAATACTTAATTTCAATAAAATTTTTGACAGCTACAGTATGTATATACAACTACGTGAAATATATAAACAGCACTTCGGCGTCTCGAGGGAAGAGCCTTTGTCAAAACGGCGAAGTTCTGCTTATGTTTTTCATGTAGTTGTAATATTGTTTCTGCTTATTTTCAAAGAATATTCAAAGACCTTAAGAGTAATCAGCTGTTGAAAAATTCCGACTGTAAGAGCCAGGAAATTGCACTAACCAAATACCTAATACCAAAGAACCTAAGGACTTTCCAAAACTTTCTACACTGATAAAATTCAAAGACTTTCCAATGACCTTTATTGCTTCAAGTCCTAGATTAAACTTTAAAAACTTTCCAAGATTGGGGAGACCGCTACGAACCATACAGCGTACTTACGGTCAGGTGTCCGTGGTGACAAAAACGTCGATTGCTGAAAAGTACAGGGGACTTACATCATTGCTTTATTCCGTGTAACGGCAGTGAACTTTACTACTTTAACTCTATCTTCTACTTTGTACGAGTAAGTAATTTGCTTGTACGCGTTTTTCTGAATTCTGACCCTTGATGTTTTGCAGTAAAGAAGGATGGAAGGGATTGGTTGATGAAATAGAAATGGAAGTGGAGAGAATATCAGAACGAAACCTTGGCCGTGATGACCGGTATAGACATTTTACTTTCACTGTATATTACCTTATTGCCTGTCTAAATAATTTGATAAAAATATATTGATAGGACTACGAGAGTATTCCTCTGAATTTTCTTATTAATGAAGTAGCAGTTTCATATTTTACCTTCACTAGGTTATGTTTTCATCGGCGTTTGTGTGCGCTTCTGTCTGTGTGTGTGTTTGTCCCTCAGCACGATAACTTTAAAATTAAACATCAAACGTTTAAAAACGAATATTTTTGTGACTAATTGACATGTTGCCCAAGAACAAATTGATTAAATCTTGGATGAACATTGGATGAGAAATTAGCAAACGTCTGTCTTGCTCTGCCGGGCAATACATAACTTAATATATTTTATTATACTTGATACATAACTTAATTTCCTGGCGGAGGTATGTAGTCTCTGAGTGGCCTTTAGTTTCATCATAATATCATGATTATACATCATTGATATCATGCATGGTTACACAAGATGACTTTGAAGATGTAAATACCGTCCATCACAAAATAGGTTAAGCCTGTGAGGAGGTTGAGCCTGAGTTATCATATATTATGTTGAGTTTCTCCTTTGTACGTTTGCCTCTAAATAGTACAGCTCATGTAGTTTACAAATAACAACAACAAAGTTAGATAACTCTTTCATGTCCTTATTTTCCAGCTGCATATCAGACCACGGTCGCGAGTCTCGTTGTCCATTTCTTGATGAAGATGTTGTATCGTTTTTAAACGCTTTACCGGTTTGGATAAAGGTTTGTTTACATCTTTTTGTGTGTGTGTGTCTGCCTGCCTGTCTGTCTGTCTGTCTGTCTGTCTGTCTGTCTGTCTGTCTGTCTGTCTGTCTGTCTGTCTGTCTGTCTGTCTGTCTGTCTGTCTGTCTGTCTGTCTGTCTGTCTGTCTGTCTGTCTGTCTGTCTGTCTGTCTGTCTGTCTGTTTGTTTGTTTGTTTGTTTGTTTGTTTGTTTGTTTGTTTGTTTGTTTGTTTGTTTGTTTGTTTGTTCTAGTGGTTACTATTATAGCAACAAAGAACTTAAAGAAAACCGAGGCTAAAAACTCTACGTTTGAAATTCTCCTTCCGCGAGAGGAAAGCTTTATTTTGCTTTTCATGACGTCGAGCAGTTCTAATTTCCTTTGACAATTACAGAAGTCTTACTATTAATTTTTATATCTTTACAGTATTAGTGAAACTGGCGTTAATTTTATACGTCTGAGCATAGACAACCAGAAGACAATAACGTCCTCTGGATTGTCTATGGTCTGAGCAATGAGTGACTAGATGGCATGGAGAATAGACGTACAATAGAAATTTTCAATCACTCAATCGCGACACAGGGTGTCATTATAAACATGTATTGTCATGCCAAAAGGCCGATTTCACGGTGTTTGACTAATACAACTTGTAATAAAGAATATGTATTATAATGAATAATATACATCGTTATATAGCTAGAGTGATCACCAAACGTGATTGGCTGATTTGTAGTCACGCGGCTTTAGATATATGTAATGTACAGTATCCCGCTGGGCAACAAGTTGTTACCCGCCCCGACCAGCTACGTACATAAATAAACAAAATGTCGGCACAAGTTTATAAACTATGATTTTCCAAGTTTGTGTTAAAATAAAGAATGTAAACGAGATAAAAAATAAACAACAGGATATGCAGGATATGCTGCTGTCGGGTAAACAAAATTATTTCCCTGGGGAGTAGACATTGAGTGTATAATATAGCATATTACGAAAACCGCGGATCCTTCCTCTCTCCCAAAAAGCCGTGTGGTGTTTTCGTGTCCAAACAGTCGCATTCCTAAAGCCCATTTTCCACTAGGCGAATTTGTTCGCGCGAAGCGAAGCGAAAATCAAATCCTGGCAATGTGATTCGTCAGCGAAAAAATTCACCACGAAAAAGTTGGATCAGTTCCTAATTTTTTACTGTTCGCGCGAAATAATTCGAAAAGATCCAATCAGATGCATAGTTATTTTATCCGATTAACCAATCAAATGCGTATTAATTAAGCTTGTGAGAGGTAGCGTGGAAGTCAATTCTGAACATCTCCAATATGTGATTACAGGGGCGGATCCAGCTCCTGAGCTGACTGATGCATACATAAGAACTCGCATTTGTCGGGGGGTCCGGGGGTATCCTCCCCCGGGAAATTTTGAAATCTAGAACCTCGGAAATGCGATTTCCTGCGTTCTGAGCAAACTCTTTTGT